TTCTCAGTACACATAACAAGTCATCGAAGCCTTTATCGCTCAATCTGTGCATAAATTTGAATTCTGATAGCATGAGGTCTGCTTGCAATTTGCTCACTAGACAACCTGGATACAATGGTGTTTATCCATCCTTTCTCGGTATCTCTAGCTTTTCAACTTCTAGCACTAAGGAATCAACCCTCTACGTACGTCACGTAGCAACTGAGAAAGGCCATCCACTACCAGAAAACCAGATATCCTTAGGGGCTAGCAATTTCCTCGAGGGGCGAAATTGAACCCCCCAAGGATATATCATTACCTTGGGGTCATATGAAACCTCCAAGGAAATGTATATTCTTGAGTGCTCACCTAAACCGCCAAGTTAAATCCATATTTCCTTGAGTGCTAGTCTGAACCGCCAAGGTAATTCTATGTTTTCTTGAGTGTTGTTACAAACCGCCAAGGTAATTCACATTTCCTTGGGTGTGACTAGAAACCGATAAGGAAGTGCTGGTTTCCTTAGGTGTAAACCCTCAAGTAAATTATTGTAGCCGCCAAGGAAAAAAATTCAGTTTATAGTCATATTCCTCTTAACCACTGATATATTGAACTCATTGTATGTTTGCTAGTTAGACGTTGCATTTTATAGATACAAATGCTCAATTGACATGTTTGGGAAATGAAATACATTTTTTTCTTAGTACATTAATCAAACAAAAAGTATAATTTTGTGTTGTTATGCATTAGAGAATGCATATACTGGCGCTTAGCTTTAGATGCCTAGTTAGCTTTAAAGCGAACATGTAACATACTAATATCGTATGGAGGCAAAGTTTATATCAAAGTTGTCGAGCTCGAAGAGATGTACAACTTCGCAGTTGATGTCTTTTTGTATTTGAAATCATTCAAAATCGACAAACTATGTTTTAAGTCCTTAGAATTTTGAACTTCAACTTTTTCAATCTTTCGAATGACCTCAAATGGAGATACAACCTAAACCAAAGTTCCAGTACTCGATGAGATATAACACTTTTCAGTTCAAACTTTTTTCAATTGAAATTGTTTAGGCTCTCTAGTATTCATTACAAGATCCACTAAAGTGAAAACAAAAAGAAAGAAGCATTCACTTAGTCGCAAAAGACTTATTGATGTAGTGGTATATGAGTTTCACGCGAAATCTCAGGTCGCAAGTTTGATTCCTAGCTACAACAAACCCACTCAAGGAAACATATATCCCTGGATGTTACATTTCCTTGGGTGTTATCGGCACCCGAGGAAACGTATATCCTTGGGTGTTGTTACATTTCCTTGGGTGTCATCGGCACTCAAGGAAATGGATATCCATGGGTGTTGTTGCATTTCCTTGACAGTGTTAAAAATCTAACCACTGATTTATTTCCTTGACGGCTCAACCCTTAAGGAATTGATTTGTGGCGGCCAGCCCTCAAGATAATAACTATTTCTCTGACTCTCTGCCCTTGGCAGTCCTTCCTTGAGTGTTGGTCGCCAGGAATTATTTCCTTGGCGGTTTTCCTACTTTCCTTGAGGGTTTTCGACCCTCAAGGCTATTCTGTTTTGTGGTAGTGATCGCCATCGTCATATCGTCAGCTCATGTATTCTAGAAGTGGGTGTCATCATTGATAGCCACAGGTTTCGTGTTGACACCCATTTCCTCGTTAGTAATAGCCTTAGGGGGGCTGTCATGTATGATCACATCATCAAAGGTTTGTTGCGGAACATTCTCACCTTCACATGCTTACTCCATATCGTGTAGTCTTTCACGAACCCCCTAGTAATCAAGTGAAATCGTATTTGCTCCACGTTAACAAATTTCCTGAGATTTTTTGCAATCTCTGCATGGGTAGAATACAAGTTGTCCATCTCTAGCATAAACTTTGGCAGCTGTGATGAAGGTGTTGATGCCCGTCAAGTACTGCAGGTTTGCAGATGTCAGACCGTACATCTACCCTTGATCCATCTCTGCACAGAAAAATTATAGGAAAATTGAACAACAATTGTAGCTCAAAACAATAGGTTGCTAGGTGTCACATTGATGTGCTCATCAAATTAAAATTGGTAGCCTCCTCTTGAAGAACAATTATTCTACTTCATGTCACATAAAAATAGAGAGACTAATTATAGGAGAATAAAAATTGGAGCCTTCATGAACAATAATTGTAGCTAAAAATAATGGGTTACTAGGTGTCACATGGATGTGCTCGTCAAAATTAAAATTGATAGCCCTATTAAAAAAACTCAACTCTACATCATACAAGAACTAAAGAATCACATACTAACAATCATCAAAACCACCCTGTAAGTTGCTACAAACTAAACTGGGTTCATAGACACCAACCTTTTAAAAGATAGATTCACCACGATTTGAATTCCTTCGTCAAAATCCAATTGAAAAGTGCTCTCTAAACTGGAGAAGTAAGCAACATGAGAATCAATCAATCTATCCATAAAAAATTGAAAAGCTACAAATTCAAAGGACCGGATACTTGTTACTAACCTTAAAGCAAGAAGATCATGCCCATGCTTCGAAGTCCAAGACCTTCCATTAGTATTTTGGTGAAAAATGACCACAATGGAGGGAGAGGTGGAAAAAGGCGCCTCCTTGGCTGAGTGTGCTCGGAATGGGAGGGATGAGGGAAGAGGACGTCGTCTTTTGTAGTGTGCAGCTATCACTGCCGGCTCAAGCCACGGACCAGCAGTGACATATCATTGCCGATTCGAGCCACCAGGCGGCACCGATGATGATCTTCACTTCCGGTTTTTGGGGACCCCAATCATTTTCTGATTTTAAAGCTAAGAATCGACCCTGAAGATTTATCACAACCGTTTCATACAAACCAACAGCGACGACGGCCGGCAGTGACGGTCGGTTCACTCTTTTTCAGGCACAATATAATTGAGTAATCTGAGCAGCGAACGGTTCAAAGCATTTGTTTGAAAGAAAAACCCAAACCATTCAAAGTTTCAAACCTCCTGGAAGAAGGCACCCGTTGAGGTCACATGCCGTGATGACGGCAATGGATGAAATCACCGGTCCGTTCTCCTCACTCTTCCAAGTACCAACTCCGATGGCGCATCGTTTCAGTAAAAATTTTCCCAAGTTTCCAGAAAACTGCTTTGTTTTTCTAGCGGCCGGCCGACTTGTTTCGTACACGCACGTATCTCTCTTATCTGGAGAAAGCAGCTTTGATGACTATACTATAACAGGTGTGTAGCGTGACCTGGATAGTGTGATCTGCAAGCGAGAGATCGAGTCAGCAGTGTGCTGCAAAAATTCAAGCATATGCGTGGCATGTGGCAGACCGGCATGAACGAGTGTTAATGGTTGCTTGGTTGCTTGCCATGGCCATGCTGCGTTTACTCTGACAAAGATTCAGAGCTCGGTCCGCGTGGCGCGGAGTAGTTGTTACCTATCAACTGAATATTATATTGATACGATGCAGCAGTAAAATAATATAAACAGCTATGCATTAGCTTTGTTCCAGATCAGTCTAGGAAGTGGATTAAGGAACTGAAATGAAATATTCCAAAATATTTGGAAGAAGGATACAGCAGTATACTGGCAGTTATATATATATGGCTATTAGATACTCCTTGAGTCCTTGAATGAATCAATTTCTAAAGTTATGTTAAATCAATTTTTTTAAGTTTGGTCAAATTTATAAAAAATATACAACAATATTTATGACATCAAATAAACAATGATGAAAATATATTTCATTGTGTATCTAATAATATTAATTTGGTTTTATAAATCTAGGCGCGCCGGGCCGGAAAGGGAGGAGGGGAGGGAGGGGAGGGGCACTCGGCGGGGGAAGAAGAAGGGGAGGGGAGGGGAGGGGCGCCCGCTGGGGCTGGTTAATTAAGTAGGGTTTTTTTTTTTTTGCCGAGTGTCCTAGATCTGGACACTCGGCAAAGTTTTTTTTTTTTTTTTTCTTCTCATTCTTTCCTAGAAAAAAGATTTTACTTCTTTGCCGAGTGTCCTAGATCTAGGCACTCGGCAAAGTTTTTTTTTTATTTTTTTCTTCTCCTCCTTTTCTAGAAAAAAGATTCTACTTTTTTGTCGAGTGTCCTAAATCTGGGCACTCGATAAAGTTTTTTTCATTTTTTTTCTTCTCCTTCTTTCCTAGAAACAAAGATTTTACTTCTTCGCCGAGTGCAAAAAAGAAAATACTCGGCAAACCCCTTCTTTGCCGAGTGTTTTTTACACTCGGCAAACCTCCTCTTTGCCGAGTATTTTTTTTTTTGCCGAGTGTTTTTAGCGCAGCACTCGGCAATGAACTTGTTTGCCGAATGTCTGAGAGAATACACTCGACAAACATAAAAACACTAGGCAAATTTGACGTTTCCAGTAGTGATTTGACTTAGGAAAACTCTGTGGAATTGATTATTTTAAAGAACGGAGGAAGTATACAACTGCAATTTAACTGGTGTACCTTGCAAGCAGTTCAGTCCATCTCTGGACTCTACTACTCCCTCCTGGTCTACGACACTCATAGTCATGATACAAAACTAGCACAAAATACGCGCTCTGCTGCGCAAGCTAATGAACAGCGCAAAAAAACACGAACAAAGTACATATGAGCAGTAGCAACAAAGTGAATAGTATATAAACCGCTAAACAGTAACAAACAAAGAAATAAACAGCATGAAAACAGTACTAATTAAACAGTGGTGCACAGTAAAAAAGGAACAACGATAAAAAAATGCCTGAACAGTACATGAGGCCCGGATTGGTCTCCATTTTATTCCTGGTCGAGGGATTAATATATATTTATTATTATTATTATATAATACGGGCATCGTAAACTCAGTATTATATAAGGAACTATAGTCGTAAAAACTTGTTCTTTTCCGTTGTTGGAAACTCTCTATACTTTTGGTTTCCAAATAAAAAAACTCAGTGTTATATATATACACTATACAGTATAGTGATTAGAGCACACCTTGTCGATCGATATCGGTTTATTTGGCTCCAATTAATACTATTTATTAGTTAATAATCACACTCGAAAGAGTATAACGTTGGGGTCCAATCCCTTGGGCACGCTCGCCACGAGTTCATGGTACGTGTCCGGCAGCGACAGCGCGATCTTGGTGGCAGTCTCCAGGTAGCTCTGAAACTTGTCTGTGGTCAGGCCAGCAGCCTGCTGCTGATCCGCGGCGGTGGTCTTCTTCTTCGGGTAGTACTGCTCGTCGTCGTCGTCCGAATCGGCGTCGACGACGGTGGTGGTGGAGGTGCGGCGGCCACGGTGATCGCGCAGCAGCTCCTCCCTCATGACGTGGTGCTTGAACGTCCGTCGGCGGAACGCCCAGTTTCCCGTGGCCCAGTCGAAGCTGTAGAGCGGGAGGAAGCGGTGGCCGTGCGCGGCCACGAAGTCGATGGCGGCGAGCACGAAGCGGAACTCGTCGCGGGAGAGGTAGTAGGCGAAGCTGACCCGCGTCCACCCGGGCTTCACGCCGTGGTACCCCCTGACGATGGCGTCGCGGATGCGGAGCGAGAGGTCCTCGCCGACGCCGAGGAGCGCGTGGCCGTAGGGCCCCGCGCACGCGCAGCCGCCCCTGGCCTGGATCCCGAACAGGTCGTTGAGGAGCTTGGCGACGAACCGGCCGTGCAGGGGCAGCCGCCGCCGCCGCGGGCTCCCGGTCGCTGACGCGTAGGAGGTGTCATCTCCTTCTCCGCCCGGGTAGACGAGGAAGGAGAAGATAGGCAGGCGGCGCGCGGCGACGTTGCCGAGCACCTCGACGTTGGGGTTGCTGAGCAGCCGCGCCATGGCCGCCTCCGCGTAGACCTGCTCCCGCAGCGCGACGGCGTCGCGCCCGACGTGCTCCTTGACCCAGAACGCCAGCGACGCGCGCACCTTCTGCACGATGGGCGGCGTGCCGGCGTCCTCGCGCTCCTCGATGTCGTCGTAGTACACCGTGTCCTGCAATGCATGCGGGTGTACGGTACGGCACACGTGCGTCAGCGACTGGATCGTCATGCATGTACTGCCACGGAGTTGTGACTCCGATGGTTCAAGCGTGCATATCACGGCTTTAATGATTGCAGTACCAGAGTACGAAACATTCAGGTTCATCAAAACCTGTACTATACTAGTAGTACCTAATTTGGAATTTACATGCATGAACAAATAAGTACAGAAGCACACGGCGGGTCGATTGTCGTTGGTGGCCTCACTCACCTCCTCGCTGAATCCGTTGACGTAGGCGACGGTGCCGCCGCCGCAGGTGGACGGCGGCATGCCGGCGAGGCGGTAGAGCGCCCAGTTCATGAGCAGGATCCCCGGCGTGCCCGGCCCGCCGACGAACTTGTGCGGGCTGAGGAACACCGCGTCGTAGCCGTCCATCTCCCCCGACCGCATGTCGATGTCAACGTAGGGCCCGCTGTTCAGACACACGGGGATGTCAACGATCGACTCACGCATGTCTCATGCAGTGCAGGACACAATGTCATCTGAGCAAGAAACGTGAGCACAGGTATGCAGTGCAACACCGGCCATTGAAGGCCTTTGTGGTTTCATGAGAGAGCGAGGCTATGTTCGGATGGGTTTTCTGTTCTGAGTTGTGACGCGTATGCATGTAGCAGGTAGAGGTCAATGGCTTTCGCTGTCGGATATGAGCTACGAACTGGACTTGCGATCGATGCTAACCTCTGGCTCAGTTTCTTTCCGCTCCTTCTAATTGACTTGGAAATAAAATTAACAAAACAAAGCCGGGCAAGGAAAATATGTATGAGATTGCTTCAACGATGCGGAAACCAGACGCGAAAACATTTCAGCAACTTCATCTAATTACTATATAACGTGTGATGGATGCGTTCTTAATAATAATAAGTCTGGCAAGCCATGAATTTGATAGCGTATGGCGTTGGTACACAGATGCAATACGTGATGGTGGCATCTGCAGGTCAAAGTGATAGCATCATGCAGCATGCAGCAGGTGGCGAAATTTGTCAAATTTTGATGTCAAGGATGGAGGAAACGGGCGCGCCTGCAGCTGCAGGTAAGGTTGAAAACGGACAAAAAAAATCCTGTTCCAACCGTTCCGTTTTCTACTTTCTTGCGTCCGTTTTCGTATTTATGGGATCCCATTTCCGTATTTACGGAAACGGAAAAGGGTTTTTTCCGTCCATTTTCGTGAGATCCCGTTTTTATCCAGAATTGACCCGTATTTATTCCGTTTTTCTTTCCGTTTTCAATCTATGTGAGATATGTCTAGAAATTGATATGTTTATAAACCTACTGATCACAAATTATGCATGTTAACACATGATATACTATTGAATATTGGACCGATAATTTCGTACGTGTATATTATTTTGTGACTTTGTTCATGTATACTCAAGAATATTTGATCATGTTATTCTAACTTATTTTCCCGTCTCCCCGTCCGTATTCGTCTGTTTCCGTATTTCCGTATATCCCATCTGTTTTTAATTTCGTTTTTTTCTTGAACCCGATCCCGTTTCCGCTAAAAATATATAAACGGAAATGGGAGAGGAGTTTTTCCGCCTGTTTTCATCCCTAGCTGCAGGTGAGGAAATCAAATCGCGAAATCAAATTGGCCTAGTTGTTATTACTATTCAAAGAATGACGCTTGATTTTTCTGTTCATCAGGTCCGGATTGCAGAATATGGATCAAACTGCAGAAATGCAGTGTGGACTGAATTTCGTTCTGATACAGGTGCTTACATTTGCACTAATTGTTCTATGGCGTCAAGTTTCAAACCTCACGTATATATTCTATAGCACATTGACAAAACGAGAGTTGCTGCCTGCATTTGGAATTGAACTGTATAGCTGCAAGGACTTTAATTTTGGCCATCATGCATGCGTGTCAGACTATTAAGTTGTGTGTTCATAATTCATATATTGTCACGACTGTCACGTACGAGCCTAGAAATTCACGGCTACAAACAAAGAAAACCTGAACAATTCTTAATTTCTAGCTGAGGTGCAACCGTGAATTTTAGAAGTGTATACATATATATGTAAAAAAAGAACTTGATCGAAGTTTATACCTCAATGCAAACTACTATTCTATACATCGTGGACAGGCACCCAGAGAGTACAACACGTACCTGGCGGCGAAGTCGAAGCACGCGAAGGCGCCGTGCTGGTGCAGGAGGTGTGCGATGGCGCGGGTGTCGGTGAGCACGCCGGTGACGTTGCTGCATGCCGAGAAGCAGCCCAGCATGGGGCGGTTGGCGTACTCGGGCGACACCAGCTCGCGCCGTAGCGCGGCGAGGTCGACGAGCCCGTCGTCGCCGTCGGTGCCCGCACCCGCGTCGATGCCCACGACGTCGGCCAGGGACTGCCTCCACGACAGCAGGTTGGAGTGGTGCTCGTAGGGCCCCACGAACACAACCCACCGCTCCTCCGCGCGCAGCAGCTGCTGCGCGGCGGCGGCGCCGGCGCGCGCCCGCAGCAGCGCCGGCGGTCACGCCACCCCGATCGCCTCCTGCAGCCGCTTCGCCGCCGCCGTGGCGCCCGACCCGCAGAAGAGCAGCGCGTCGTCGGGGCCCGCGCCCATGCACCGCTTGATGTAGCTCGCCGCTTTCCTCGCCATCCGCGTCGTCTTGCTGCCCACGTAGCTGTCCTCCGTGTGCGTGTTCCCTGCACATACAGCCATGCATCTGTCATGTAGTGTCGACAACATCTTCCTGTTTATGATGATCGAGACGCATGCGGCCATGCCCATGCTCATGCATCGATGGTGTTGCTTGGGCAGTGAAGAGGCATGCACGCTGACCGTAGAAGGGGAGGACGTTCTTGAGGATGTAGTCCTCGATGTAGTGGAGGCTGCGGCCGGTGGCGGTGTGGTCGGCGTAGAGGAGCGCGCGGCGGCCGAACGGCGTCTCGAACTCGGCGTCGTGGCCGACGAGCTGCGACCGCACCCACTCCACCTTCTCCTCGGCCTTGGTGCTCCGCTCCGACCGCGCCCGGAGGAGGCTCACCAGAGTATGGGGCGTGTACGTGGGCGGCGCTCCGTTCGTGGCGCCGACCTTCTTCTCCTCGCCGCCGTGCACCATCACCGCTTGAAGCGACGGCATGGCTAGATGCTTGCTGCCAATGCCAAATATTATCAAAATGCTCTTCTTGCAGCTAGCTATACTAATTGCAGTTGCAGTACGGCTACTCTCGAATATCTTGCATGGTTAGCAAGTACATGTATTATTTATACATCAGGCCGATCTCCCATATCGCTTCATGCGTTCGACTTCACAATAAGAATTTCTATAGCAGCTCTGATATGATTGGATGAGGACGAGAATAATCAATCTTGTGAGATGACTTTGGGATCGATCGCTAGCTAGTCAATGCTGCGAAGGAATTGCTTGTGATGGTCGCCAAATTGCAGACGATCAACTGGCGAGCAATTGCTGTACATGCTGAGCTGGTGGTGCGTCCTAGTTAGACCTTGTTGCATTGCATGCATCAGCTCGATCGGTGAATTTATATTTTCTACTAGAGGTTTCGTGCTTGGGAGTCTCGCAGGTACGTAGGTGTGCTCCATTTGGTCGGTTTTCGAGTATAGTTGCAGCACACACCCACAACACAAAGTTTCATCGTCATCAGGGTGGTTAGTTAACCGCCGGAGCCGCCGGCTGCTGCTCGATCGACAGATGTGCAGTCCAGTTTTTCTTTCATTTGACTCTGTTGCTGTCATGCAATTAATATCCGATTAAGATCATTTTTATGCATATATCATTTTGTAACTAATTTACTTCCTCCATTCAGAAATATTACATTAATCTAGGCACGAATAAGCGATGTTTTTAATTAGGTAAAAGTCAACAATAATAAACTTAAATAGTCGAATTTAATTATTGCAAATAATATGAATAGATTTTCCTCGAATTGTAGTTTCGCAAGAGTAAATAAATTTTCTATTTTTATAAATATTTTACAAAAAAAGCACTAGTAGAGATCACGGTAAGACCGCACTGAGATGTACAAAATGCCACTTGTTATTTGTTGACAGGAGGCAGTAACTTATTTGGCTAGGTTTTTCATTTGTAGAACAAAACTGAATATAGAATGGAAGTATTTTCATATATAATAAATCTAGTTGTATGTTTTATAGACTATCTAGCAAATTTGATGCGTACACCTACATGATTTGCAGCTCGAAGGTTTATTCAGCATTTACGTCACGTGTGTTTCAAATCGTCTTGGACGTGCCTAGGTGCATGCTACTGTAACTCGTACGAGTACACATCAACTATGATATACTCCTTTGTTCTAAATTATAAGTTGTTTTTGACTTTTTTTGGTACATTAATTTTGCTATGTATCTAGCAAAATGAATGAACCAAAAAAGATAAAGTAACTTATAATTTAGGATCACGAAAGTATAAAATATGTTGAGTTAGAACATTATTTATATCTATACCTAATATTAAAGGGCTTGGTCCGGTCATCATTCGGTCCACTCCATCCACCCGCTCACTTTCAGTCCACAGCCCCAATCGGTCTCATCGCAACGCCGATGCTTCCTCCGCCAGCGCGCTTGAGAGGAAGTGCCACCAGTCCACACTCGTAGGCAAAAGACATTTGCAGCTAGAAAAAAATACCAAAATCATAAGCCGTGCAACGAATTGAACGAAGGCACTATTGTTCAAATATTAATTGCTTACCACCACGCTACATGAACAATCCATTTTTTATTTATCACTTGCTAACACACCACAAACCTTTTCCTATTCGCAAATCATATTGGTTAACACCTTATGGTTCACATGACTAAAAAATAAAACCGTGAAAACGTGGCATTGCATATATTAGGATAATCATATAGATATTATATTATATTATGTATATAATATTAAAATATAGATAAAAATGGATCAATTGATGATGCAATTTATTGGTGCAGAAAGTGACCAACAAGTAAATATCTGTAGTTTTGCTGTACGTTGTGA